TGGAGAGGTTTTTGCTATAGGGCACCTGTGCTCGTCAGACAGACAGAGACAGAGAGACAGAAAGCAAGAAATCACCACCCCCCCACACCCCCCACCCCCGGGGATGGCCATGCCGCAATCCCTTCTCCTCCACTCTCCTCTCCGGATCTTGGGCACGCACGCACATGCGCCTGGCGTGAGTTTTAAGCCACCGGGTCCGGGACACGAACCACGGTCGCCTACGTGGGAGTCCAGCGACATAGCCATTACACTAACTGCTAGTCCCAAGGCAGGACTTCTTAATCTGGGTGGGAGGATGTTTGCTAGGTTACTGGCCGAGGTTTCTGAGAGGTGGGTCCCTCGGCGCTGTTTAGACTGGTTATGGGCCTTCCCCCTTGCTGGGCCCAGCCCCTGCTCCGGTTGGTGATAGTGCTGTTGCTTTCTAGCAGAGGCTCTTACTGGCCTGGGGTAAAGGTAGCCGTGATCCTGTGCACTCTGTATCAGTTGTGTGGTATTAAGCAGTGCTGTGGAGCCAAGAGAAAGCCAGCGCTAGTTACTGTAGGCACCAGAGGCACCAGTCTGAAGAGTTAGCCTTTGGCATTTTAGGTAGAAGAAACATACCAGGGGGACCAGCAGATGGCGTAATGGCTATGTGGCTGGACTCCCATGTAGTGGATCGCGGTTCAAGTCCCGGACCCAGTGGCTTAAACTCAGGCCGGGCGCGGGTGCACGTGTGCCCAAGATCCCAAGAGGAGAACGGAGGAGAAGGGATTACGGCATGGCCTTCCCCCCTGGGGAGTAATTTCTCGCTTTCTATCTCTCTGTCTCTGTCTTTCTGCAAGCACACGCGCCTTATAGCAAAAACCTCTCCAAAAAAGAAGAAACAAATCTGGTTTAATACCTGCGTTAATTGATAAGAAATTTCAGAATGAATTCAAATTTAAATTCTAGCATTTCTAGAATTGTTTTCTCTATCACTAAAGAAATTGAAGCCAGATGATTTAAAACACTTTTTTTTAAAATGAAGTACATGCTCATTGGGTGAAAATAAGCCTAAATGGGGCCAGCAGGTGGCATAGTGCTAGACTTGCACAATGTTGACCGTGGTTCAGGTCCCAGGCCTGGCGGCTTGAAACTCGGGCCGGGCATGTGTGAGAGGAGAATGGAGGAGAAGGGATTGCTGTGTGGCCATCCCCCCTGGGGCGGTGATTTCTCGCTTTCCAACTCTGTCTCTGTCACGCGCACTTACCCTATAGCAAAAAATCCCTCAGGAAAACAAAAAATGAGCCTAGAAGTCTGCTAGGAGTATCCTTCCTGATGGCTAATGGGGTACTACAAGAATCCATTTTGCGCATTTGGAGTAAGTTTAGACCTGGGAAGACTCACTGGCTGATTTCTCGTGTCTCAGTCATAAGCAGTCTCGGATGGTAGCTGGGAGAGCGGTGAAGACCAGTTTTAAGCTCTCTTCCTTTCTGGTCCTCACCCAAGATGCTTTTAAAT